ATACAAAGTTCAAAGTTCAAAACGTTTTTGTTCATATTTTTCACCACATAGTTTATATAAAAGAACGTGATTACAGGAAATTTAGACAGAAGTGTGCAATACCAAATTCAAAGTTCAAAACGTTTTTGTTCATATTTTTCACCACATAGTTTATATAAAAGAACGTGATTACAGGAAATTTAGACAGAAGTGTGCAATACCAAATTCAAAGTTCAAAACGTTTTTGTTCATATTTTTCACCACATAGTTTATATAAAAGAACGTGATTACAGGAAATTTAGACAGAAGTGTGCAATACCAAATTCAAAGTTCAAAACGTTTTTGTTCATATTTTTCACCACATAGTTTATATAAAAGAACGTGATTACAGGAAATTTAGACAGAAGTGTGCAATACCAAATTCAAAGTTCAAAACGTTTTTGTTCATATTTTTCACCACATAGTTTATATAAAAGAACGTGATTACAGGAAATTTAGACAGAAGTGTGCAATACCAAATTCAAAGTTCAAAACGTATTTGTTTAGATTTTTCACCAGATTCAGCGTCAATACATTGCATAATACTGTAACATGGAGTGTAACTACGCTAACACGTATGGGGAAAATATATAAAAGATGCCGTAACGGCGCACCGACAAAAGATTGAGCGTCAATACATTAACGTCTGATTACCCGCGTCACTATCATCATCGTCGTCGTCACTATCATCATCGTCGTCGTCACTATCATCATCGTCGTTGTCACTATCATCATCGTCGTCGTCACTATCATCATCGTCGTCGTCACGGCAATCTCAACTCCGACACCGCCGTCACACGCGTTTTACTCGCCGTTCGCGCTCTCTTCATTTAGTGCGAAATTAGTATTTGTTGGCTATCGCGGTTAAGTTGGAGCAGGGGATTTCCGACGACACGCGGCTGAGTTGATGGGTGGCCGGTCCTATATAATAGCGACACGCTGCCCCGCATGTAACTGCCGCTAGCAGGTGCCGCTGGCGTCTAGAGTCTGAGCACACGCAGTTATGACTGCTTATGAAGTAACTCGAGTATTGGCACAATAGGGCGCGGACGCTGGTACTCGATATGCCTGCTTGTGGACCATGTCGCTTCACTCTCGCACCGTGGGTCCCGGCGTCGTCCATCGGCATGGCAGCGGTCACTGCGAGCAGTACTAGTGTCGCCCCCTGTGAATCAGAGGAGGATGTCTTAACGCAAACTCGGTATGCGCACGCGCACGAGTATCGCAGGATGTCTAATTCGGTTCTTGTCACTACGGTCAAAGCATGGTTAGGATGAGAAGGGCCGTAGCCTGCGGGGGGGGGGCAAGGGGGCGGCTGCCCCCCTAGATTTTGGAGCAAAATTAAAGAAATAAATTGTTCTACTAAAAGAGAATTGTCGTAGTCAGAATGAAGGCTGTACATGTACTCAAAAGTGCCTCATATACCATCTCCTGCGATCTACATTTTCAAAAATTTGGGACCCCCAGACCCCCCCACCTGTTTTGCACCCCTCCTTGAAATCTTGGATCCGCCAGTGCCTCCCCCCCCCCTTAGGAACTTGCTCAGCCTACGGCCCTGATGAGGGCATTCGCGCGCGGGTGACCGACCCCGTACTCTTACGGTACCTTTTCGAAAAACAAATAACACAGTTTCGGAGCTCGCACGCTTGCACTGAATCACACGATGCGCGCCGCGCTATATAGAGATAGCGATAGAGAAACACAGAAACTAGCCGATAGAGAAACAGGATAATAACCACTTCGTTCATGGCGCGCGCGATTCGTTCATGAGGTGATAATATGACGGTATATCTTGACGGCAGAAAAAAGTAGGGAACTCAGGGCTCCCTCTGGATGTGAGCCAAGACTTAAGCTACCAAAGTTTCTTTTTAGCCACCAATAACAAACTATAGCCACTGTTAAGTTCATCGTATGTGCTAAGCAAGGCATAAACAGGTGATGGGTATGGAAAAAGGGGTGTACGAAAACCTTTTTAATAAAATAATCAAGTAAAAATGAAATAATGTAGTTTAGTCTAGACAAAACTAGGTTGTTGCACCGTTGCACGGTAGTTGCACCAAAGGACTAAGTTACGGAAATTGTTAGTACTTACATGACACTACAATTTGACAATTTCATTATTCAGTCGTAGTTTTGTGAGCGGTTAAATCATTCGCCAATTGTATTCACCACTTAGTGTACTAAAATCGCCACTGTTATTCATCGCATTTTGCTAAGGTGGCGAACGCCAGCGGTAACACTGGAATGAATTCCTACCAATAGCACTTTGCCAAGCGCACTCCATGTTACTCCTGGAGAATGCATTTTGGTCTGTCGTAGTTTGTCGCTGTGATCTCTACTAGGCTGCATTCGGCTGCACTCGGCTGCACCTGTGGTTGAAGTTGTATACGTTTTCCTGTAAATGAATATACGCTACATAAGAGATCGTGTGTCGTCTTATTTTGAACAGCTGATAGAAAGGTTGAACGTCCGTTAACTCTCTGCTACGTTCTTTTTAATGCAGCGTCGGTCTGTGTTAAGTTTTGCTGGTCGTATAGTCACACATAGACAGGTATACATTGCGCGCATAAGCTCATAACTAGTTTTCGTAGTACCGACGTTTTGATAGAACGTTGAAAAACTTCGACGTTGAGAAACTTCGAACGTTGAATCATCTCGTCGAACGTTTCATAGTGTAAACCCAGCTTTAGATGTAAATTCAACAAATCTCCGTATGAACTTGTTATAACCTTATATAATATTAAGAGCTCTTGTAATGGTGGAAAATGTGACTTCTGTGCAATCAGCAATCAGAGATAATCCAAGGCGTCAAGTATGATGTATAAAATATAAAGAGGTTTTATTCTGCGTACACAGATGCGCATAATACGGTACTAGATACATAGCACAGCCTGCCCTACACACGTCAAGCACTCGCGCTCTGTCCCTCTCTCTTCTCTAGCCCCTTCTCTCTCTAGTGAATCATTTTAAGAGAGATACACCTTCTTTCATCCGTGTCGATCGGTGTAACTCTTTACCTTCAGCAACAGCCTTCAGCGTATTCGTTGATGGTGAGAACCAGGGGCCCGTTGTCAGAAACAAACATTAGTCTTAAAATTAGTCTTAATATTGACTCTTACGGCTGTCGACCTCACTAGGAATCGCAACGTCGCATGTACGTCGCGTCGTAAGGAAGTACACCGATTTCTCACGTCCTCGAAATCTATTTCTATGTCGCGATCCGACTTTCGTTCGCATCATTTGCATCCTTACACGCTTGATATATAAGAGACCTTTGCGTATAATAGCAACGAACATATTTATACACTTCTAGTGAAGATGTGTTCATGATGATAGTGAGATGCATCTGTTGAACGCTTCGTGTGGTCAGGGTAGTGTGTCAGGTATGGATTTACTTACATAGAATCAAGAATCTATAGTAACTGGTTAGTGTCTAGTACTAGTAATTATCACTACGATCATCATTCTGCTTCTAACTTAGATCTAGCCGAATCACCATCCCTATTTTATAATTACATTTCCTTGAGACCATCTCGCGCGTGCGTGCGTGCGTGCGTGCGTGTCGAGCTGCAGGAGGCATTCTGCTGCGTGCAGCGCACCCTGGTGGCAGGCACGCAGCAGCATGGCGGACTTGAGGTCGTGGTAGCAGGCGAGCGCGTAGAGACACTCGGCCGCGAGGTCGTGCAGCGCGTGGCTGCCGGTCCGCCGACGCGAGCTCAGCAGCTTGAAGAGACACGCCTGCGCGTCGGTCTGCACGATAGCTTCAGCCATGAGCCTGCTTGCCTCACAGAGCAGTCTTACTGCCACACACGCCTGCAAGACCAGAGCCAGATTAGTAACGGGGAAACACCAAACAGGACTTAGCGACTTGAGACCCGTTGTCGAAAACAATATCAGTCTTAACATTCATCTTAGCTATAACGTAACACGGATCCCTTACCATAACCCTGACCCTAACCCTAACCCTAACCTTGACCCTGACCCTGACCCTAACCCTAACCCTGACCTTGACCCCAACCCTAACCCTAACACCAACCCTGCCTTTAGCTTAACCCTAACCCGTAACCCTAACATGTGGCGTAACCCTAACGCTAATTGCCAGATATCTGGCAAGAAGTAAGCGCCAGCACGTCTATATTGCCAGTATAAATACCCATGAGCCAATATTGGAACACACGGATGCCTACTTCTTCGAGTAGTTGATTATCGCTGTCGTGCTCTGTCATCGCCGCACAGATGACTGACGCGATAGAGCTGCAGGTGGCTGGTGACGTCATCAATCGCTGGTCGACTACGAGCACTTGTAGTAGAACGAGGCTCTTCAGCTGTATGGCTGCAACATCGTATGGCTCTGAGACAGCGTGATAGTAGTGGGTTACACCGCCCCAGCAATAGAATAGTGTCTCACTATCCATGTTCATCCCGGAGGCTCGTTGTTAAAAACATCGTAAATTGTTGCGACTATCGTCTGAAAGTCTGTATACTAAGAGATCTAATAATAAGAATAAATACTAACTAAATTAATTAATAACTAATTATTTATTTAATAATCTAATTAAAGACTATAAGTCTTAAACATCATAATAATAGTGCTATACTAAATGAGCAAATATTGTGATTTTTAGACTTTGTCGTAATTATTCATTTCTTACAACAGAATCCTGGTCTTTTATTCGCTGTATGATGTCATTCTCATCATTACATTGAGCGTTTTAGAGTTAATCAGGCCAGGCACATTGAGGCAAGGCTAAAGCAAGGCTCATAGGGTCTATGTCCCCCAGGGTACTATCGGAGGATACCCTGGGTACGGTTCGATATATCGTAACGTACCCTGGTAACTATCTGATATGGTTAAGGTTAGGGTTAGGGTTAGGGAGTAGGCGTAGGCGACTCCCTAGACTCGTTAGTGGAGTAGGCGAGGTACGGTACGGCATATTAGATAGTACCAGGGTACGTTCCGATATATCAAACCGTACCCAGGGTACCCTCCGATAGTACCCTGGGGGACATAGACCCTCTCAGCTAAAGCAAGGCCTATTTATATATAAACACGTGTTTATTTATAGGCCTTGCGCTAAAGCCGGCACGATGGCACGTACCATAGTTGTGCCGGTGCTGCCGCATGGTGGTCACCAGGCTGTCGATGACACCGATGTTGCAGAGCATGGCGGGACATCCCTGCACACT